AATAAAATATTTAATGGTTTGGGGTTGAAGTGCTCCCAAAGGTCACCTTCATGCCCATAGACTCATTCAATGTAAATATAATCAGCCGAGTTATAGGAACTGTCCAAGGGACCCTTACCCCTTGGTTCAGGTTAATAAGGTCAGAGGGGGTCGCTACCCTTCTGGCATGTGCTCTGGGGACCCTTACCCCCAGGGCAACCCTAAGGACCATTACCCCTAGGGTTATCAGAGCGGGCCTTATATATACCCCGCAGGATGAAATATAAGGCCATAAAGAGTCTATTGGGTTAAATATACATATAATGTGACACTTATTATAACAGGAGTACTTCACCCCCATAAGCCTTTTTCCCACACAAAAGCTGTATGAGTCTACTCTTAATTCTTAGCTCAGTTAGCTGGCTGGAGAACAATTGTTCCATTAAATCCAAGTAAAGAGAAGGGAATCAAACACAACAGTTAAAAAGAACATAATGAAATTAGTAAAATTGCAAAATTGCAATGTTTGTATTACGTGCGGAAATTGTTACCATTTTTGAGCCGAAAATGGTAACAAATACGGCACGTAATACAAATATACTGAAAATATGCAAACTTCGCAAGGCAATATTTTCTGTATTTTACAACATTTCGTTACCAAATTTTGCAATTTTACTGATTTCAATAAGTTCTTTATGGGAATTTACTTTTTTTGCCTAAATAAATTAGTCTAACATGCAAGTTATTCCAAAGTTGTCCTCGATATACAAATCCTCACTCGTTTTAGTATTAAATATTTATTATATATGCAGACAATACGAAAAATACGAAAATCGCTTGTCTCAAAACCTTGTAAACATCTCTCTCCGTCTCTTGTACAATAACAACCCAATTAGTAATGATTATACCATATATGGTTATGTTCCGAGTATTTCTAAATATAGCTATAACCGATTGTTGTTAATACTGTTCAGAGTTCATCAAAAAGTTGTCTGTTGAAAAAAACTAACAAGGAAAATCAATTAAGCATAATTCAAGATTAGCAAACTAAATGTTTTTAACATTTTAAAACATTTTTATTGTTAAAAACATTGAGTTGACTGATCTTGAATTATGTATAATTGACTTTCCTAGTTACTTTTTTCAATCAAAAGGCCTAGGGCTGAAATGTGCCTTAAAAACCATCATTCGACAGGTTGAACTGTGCCTTTAATACCAACTAATCTGCACTAACTACAAAGGTCAACCCAAATAGGTATATTTATATACGAACTACCTGATTACAGATTTATATTTAGATTACCATAAATTACACTTTCTCTCTTTTTAAAGTTCGTGACATAATGTTCAATAAGTTTTTTGCTGTTGTTTTTTTCTAAATGTTTATAAACTATTTATATCTAAACTAATATTAAATCAAGTCTTTATTTAGGTAATGTTAAAATTATAATACTTTTTGTTTGTGGAAACACCACGTAAATTTATTACAGCAAAGCTTTCGATCTGTAAGTCCGGATTGTCATCAATGCTATGATAATATGCGACTTGCTTGTTCAATTCACACGCCCCCTTTTATATAGCAAAAGTGTCGTGATCTGATGTCCCGCGTCGTTCGAAATTTCATTAAACGCTTACTTCAACCACGCCATTTCAAACGTAGTCAAGTGATTCTAATTAACGCGCGAGAATGCAAGACAAGAGAAATTAATTTTACACCTTAAAGAGAGCACGATGCATACTATCTAGTGGTTGTTTCCGCCTGATCTATAGTATTGTGCTTCTCGATTTCAATGGTCCAATTGCCTTATAGCGATGCCCGCTGTGCATGACGGTAGGAGTCGTCATTTTGCAATCGAACGACATGGCGACTGTACGAGCGATTTTGGTCTGAAGCTGAAATGGCGGACTATTAAAAACTTTTTGCAACCATCGATAACTTTTATCCACAAGAAAACAACAGCAGAACTATGAACTACATGTATATGTAATTTTATGGCGTTACGTGTATTAGCGGTGGAGTAATTGCATTGGCAAGGCAATAACATGTGAACACGTATCGATAGATAGATAGATAGATAATCCGTTTAATGAAATCATCTAGCAGCCATAAAGCTGAATTACATGATTTA